CTGCCATTTAATTTCACGTAACTATCTTCATCTTCCTCACTCTAGCCCAAATGTACATCCCAAGAGCTCTTTACACCTTCCCTGTTTTGCTTCCCCCTTCATCTCCCACTTCCACATGCCAAGTCTAGCCCACCTTTCAGAAGCTGGCCCCAACATTGCCGCCTTCACACACCGCTATTATTTGTGTGCACACTATGTGACACAGTCCCCCTTCCCCAGCAAAGAAAACACAGAAGAGTTTTGGGAGTAAATCCTCTCTCCTCAACTTTCTTGAACATTCTGTCTCTACGTGTGAGAGCAGACATCACTTTCTAGGTTGTGTTTGAATTATGTACACACTTCTGATCTGTTCTCTCGCAGAGGCGAAAACAGGGCAATGCCATTGTTCTGTGTAGTCCCCCAGATGTGTTTACACATAGCGATATCTAATGCATGTTTTTTTTTCCAAATGTGTACGTTTATCTTTTTTCCTTCTGACTTTCTAAAGTATGAATTTCTGGCCTCTTTTCAGACAGAATTCCTTGACATAAGCCAGCTGTCTTTCATCCATGATTTGGGACCAAAGGGCATGTAAGTTCCGTGTTGCATCTTAAAGAGAAGTGTGAAAGTTGATAAGCATTACCATTTGATTTGCCAGCATGCCATGGTGACAGAGCCTACCTGGCTTTCCTGCTACCTTCTTTTCTCCTCAACAGAGTCAGAGCCTCTCAGGGACTCTGTTTATACACAGTGGTACCTTGCTATGTTGAACAAGGGAATCAACTGCTCCACTCTCTTATTACAGCCCAGATTTCCTCTGGCCCAGTAGTAGGAATGTTTAATACAGGCGGCAAATATGAAATACGGGAGAAAGCATTAGAAATAAATACACACTATTGTATATTGGAAAGTGGCAAGAGAACAGATCTGAAAAGTCCTCATCACAAGGAAAAAATGTAGAACTGCATGTGGCGATGGAGGTTAACTAGACTTGCCGTGCTGATCATTTTGCAATATATACACATATTGAATCAATGTGTTGTATACCTGAAACTAGTATCATGTATGTGAATTGAAAAAAAAAAATCAAATATGCCAGATCCCTTCTTTTAACAAGTTACAAAAGTTAGCTATTTCTCACTCATTTTCATGATTAAAAATAATACTGTGTAAAATTTGTTAGGTAACAAGATTGGAATTTACTTATTATTTTCCTTCATAATGAGAGAGCTTGATGTTATTTATATAGAGCCTACTTAGCTTCTTGAGTTAAGAGCATTGTTAGTAATTCTTTTAATTTTTTTCTTTGATTAAGCCATTAGTATTTTTTTTTTAATTTTTTTTTTCAACGTTTATTTATTTTTGGGACAGAGAGAGACAGAGGATGAACGGGGGAGGGGCAGAGAGAGAGGGAGACACAGAATCGGAAGCAGGCTCCAGGCTCTGAGCCATCAGCCCAGAGCCTGACGCGGGGCTCGAACTCCCGGACCGCGAGATCGTGACCTGGCTGAAGTCGGACGCTTAACCGACTGCGCCACCCAGGCGCCCCCATTAGTATTTTTTTAATGTTTATTTACTTTTGAGAGAGAGAGAGATTGAGATCATAACTGGGGGAAGACAGAGAGGGAGAGAAAGCATCCTAAGCAGGCTCTGAGCTGTCAGTGCAGGCATCCACACAGAGCTCGATCTCATGAACCATGAGATCATGACCTGAGCTGAAGTCAAGAGTTGGTTGCTTAACCTCTGAGCCACCCAGGCGCCCCAAGCCATTATTATCATTATTTCTTGTCCTATCTTTCAAAATCAAGATATTTCTCTTTCCAAAGCTCTCATAGCTGTGCTCTACTCCTTTGGTATGACTTGGTCCTAGAACTGTAGGTGAAAAGATGCAGAAATCCCTGGGAACATGTGGGCGAGCACCTCCAGTGGTCTCAATGTGAGCTGAACCATTCCTTTGCAGGCATTTGGCAATGTCTGGGGTCTTTTTCAGCTTGTCACAATGACTAGAGGGTACAGTCAGCATTTGGAGCCAGAAGCAAGGATGCTTAAGGTCTGCAGTGTGAGTAAGAGAATGTTGCTGGCTTCAATCCGACCAAGTGCTTTTAGAGATCAGCTGCTAGAATATCCAAACTAGCGAATGTGACATTAAGCAATTTGAGAGTGAAGGAGGAAAGGGTGGGGAGGAAAGTTATGTAACAGTTTATTTAGTCCCAAGTTGCGGGGCTGTATCAGCTAAGTGTGAGTTGGAAATTTGAAGATGCCGGGTTAACTTGATGTGTCTTTCAGAGAAGGTATGATAATGAAGAGATCCGGGGGACACAGAATACCAGGCTTGAATTGCTGTGGTCAGGGAAGAGCCTGCTACCGCTGGTCAAAAAGGTAGGACTTGGCAGCTTTGTGTATTCGTTTTAATAGACTGGGTATTTGGGAAGTTTTCACCTACTAGTTTTCAATTATGAATCAATTATATATCCTTTGAAAGTCACAGCAGAGCAAATTTTAAATTATTTTACGTTCCAGTCTTCAGCATCCATTTAACCATTAAAACTCAAACGTGGACTTGTAGGTAGAGTGTGCAAACTTTATTATATACATAAAGACCTGGTGGGCCACAGAAGTCCACAACTGTTCGGCCAAAGGACACATACAAGTGGCCAATGAGCACAAGTAGATATCTCAACATCACTAGTCCTTAGGGGAATGTAAATCAAAACCTGAGCGAGGTTCAACTTCATACCCAGAAGGATGGCTCTCACGAGAAAGATGCACAAGAACAAGTGTTGACAAAGATGTAGGGAAATTGGAATACTCCCACATTGCTGGTAGAAATATAAAATGGTGCAGCCACTGCAGAAAACAGTGCAGCAGTTCCTCAAAATATTAAACATAGGAAGTGAGATTACTGGGGCATATGGTAACTCTAGGTATTTACCCAAAAGCATTGAAAAAAATATGTCTGTATCAAAACTTGCAGATGAATGTTCATAGCAGCATTATTCAGAAGAGCCAAAAGGTAGGGACAACCCAAATGTCCATCACCTGATGTATGGTTAAATAGAACGTGGTTTGGGGCGCCTGGGTGGCGCAGTCGGTTAAGCGTCCGACTTCAGCCAGGTCACGATCTTGCGGTCCGTGAGTTCGAGCCCCGCGTCGGGCTCTGGGCTGATGGCTCAGAGCCTGGAGCCTGTTTCCGATTCTGTGTCTCCCTCTCTCTCTGCCCCTCGCCCGTTCATGCTCTGTCTCTCTCTGTCCCAAAAATAAATAAACGTTGAAAAAAAAAATTAAAAAAAAAAAAATAAATAGAACGTGGTTTATGCATACAGTGGAATATTTTGTGGCCATACAAAGGAGTGAAGAAGATTAATGGATATGGGGTTTCTTTCTGGGTTGATGAAAATATATAGTTGTACAACCTTTTTGAATATATTACAAACTGGTGAATAAATACAATTTTAAAGGGTTTTAAAGTATGTGAATAGATGTCTAAAAATTTTTAGTGGAAAAAAAGAGAAGTACTAATACATGCTATATTATGAATGAATCTTGAAAACATTATGCTAGGTGAAGAAAGCCAGACATGAAAGGCCACATATTGTATGATTCCATTCATATGCAATGTCCAGAACAAACAAATCTTTAGAGATAGAGTCTGTGAGTGGCTTCCAGGGGCTGGGACGAACGGACAGTAGAAAGTGACTGCTAATGGATATGGGGTTTCTTTTGGGGGAGTGATAATATTCTGGAATTAGATATTAATGGTGATGGTGCACAACTTTATGAATACACTAAAAAGCCACTGAACTGTATACTTAAAAAAATAAACTAAAAAAAGAAAAGAAAAATTGGTCAGACTTCAGGGATGATCATTTTAGATCTACATTTGTGAGGATGTGTATTATGGTAAGTGTGATATAGAAAGAGAACTTTAATTCATACCCTACCCAACCAAAGACTCCTGTGGGTCAGTATTCTCATCTGATTCTGCTTTGTGTTCTCAAAGCATTTATCACAATGTTTTGGATATAATAGACAATAGTTACTGGTTACAATAATAATTTACTGGAGTTTTGGAAAAATATTAAGAACTATATATTATTTCCCCAATTTTGAAAAAGATCTATGAGCTCATGTGTAATTATGAAATTGAGCTAAGTGTATATTAAAAATATATAAGCCCTAACATTTACTTTTATACATATTTACACTACCAACAAAAAATACTGCTAAGTCAGGCTCTTATTTTCTCAGTTTTGAAAGGATGGAAGAAGTTACAAGGGAAAGATCAAGAGATTAGAAAAAAATGGAAGATTTCTGATGTTCTGATTAAATGATTGTACTAAAATAAAAAAGGAAGTAATATACTAGAAAACACTTGTTTTCAAATAAACTGCTGTAACTTGCATAATCGCCCAGTAGGGGGCCCTGGTACAGATTCCTCCTGAGCAGTCCTCCCCACTCACCAGCTTTGGCTGGGGCCAACCTCAAGGTTGCAGAGGGCAAGCCCTTGGGAATCTTTGAAGACACTCCGGGCAGTTAGGGTCTGCGTGCAGAGCAGAGTGGAAGCGTTCACAGCCCCCAGAAGCAGCCGTTAGCCAAGAGCTGGCAGGAGTCCGGTCCCCTCCACCCTCTGCTGGCGTGACACTGCAGCAAGCCCTGCACTGTCTCCGGAGTCCCCTGGCAGGTTTGTAGCCCAGCTGCCCACAGTAAAGTACATGCAGACACAACAAAACACGACACATCCTTGATGGCTCCTTTCTTGCTCTACCTTCCCGTCCTTCCATGCCAGGGCTCCTAACAACTCCCTAAGATGCCCCTTTTATAAACCACTTTTACTCACATCCTTTTCTCAGAGTGGACGCATGGGCCAGCCCAACCTGAGAGATCTACTCAGGAAATAGAAGCCTTGGTCTGGTCCATGCAGTCATTTAGTGAGTGCCTAATGTTGGCCTGGATGTGCTCTAGCTCTTGTAAGAGAGCATGCCCCCACAGAGCATTACCAGAGGAGCAGTGAAGGCAGTGACAAAGTGGACAGGCCGTGTAAACAGTATCTATGCAGCAGGGGGCCGGAGCTTTGAAGGAAAACGAAGGCAACGGGATGGTGACGGACTTGAGGATGGGAGAGGGTGACTTTAGTTCCAGATGTCAAGGAACTGCTGTTGGAGTTGTCACCTCCATGAGAAAGGGCAGCCAGAAAAGATGGGGCCCAGACTTGATTATATAAAAGAATATACCTCCCTTACATCTTAAACTTTGTCTTGGTTGAAGCCTGATTTAATCCAATCTAAAGAGATATGATCCACCCTGGAATGAAATGTGTCATCATTTTAAAATTGTGTAAATCTTTCCATGAAGATTGAAGCCTTGGTTCCTCCATTAATAAGTATTTCCTGAATCACATTTGTGGGATATAAAATATCAGTACCAAATAAAATGATAAGATAGAGCTGACAAAATTAGTTGAGAGATTTTCTCATGGTAGAAGCTATTGGTATCTAAATAGGAGTTACTTTTAAGGATGATGCGCTCCTAACTTGCTCTTTTTTATATTTAGACCCATAAAAAGCATTCTGACCACTTTCTCATTTATGCTATATTGACAAACCAGATAAAGCAAACCGGGCAATTAAACTTGCAATCAAGTCTCACGACGACCTTCTCTCAGGGACAAGTAAAAAGAAAAAGAAAGAAAGACAAACAGGGCAAACATTTCTTCCCACAACTTAAAACATCTGCTTTAACAGCTTATCTATGGAGCAACTCCTCTGCATCTGGTAGTGGAGTAGATGAGAATCTTCTTATCTCAAATAATGTCTGAAGAGAGGGAGAGGTATAGATTTTACGAAATAAATGTAGGACTTATTTTGCTGAACTTTGAGCTATACCAAGAATTCAACGGACACTAACGAAGCAGAGAAATAATTTGAGGTAAGTGTTAGGAGGAAGCTAAACATGATGGAGCAGTGGACTGGGGTGGGCTGGGCTGGCTCGGGGACAGCTTTTTAAGATTGAGTAGCTTGGGAAGGCCTCCCTGTGGAGAAATGTTGAAGCAGGGAGTTGAGTAACAGGAAAGGACTGCCCATTGGAGGATCTAGAAGAAATCATATGTAGGCAGAGGGATAACAAATGTAGAAGGCCCAAAGAATAACCTTGGCAAGTCTGAGGAACAGCCAGACCTAGGAGGTGGGAGGGAACGGTAGAAGGTGAGGCTGAGAAGGTCATGGCTGGTTCCTGTGGTTTGGCCACATTTTAAAGCCCCAGCAAGTAGTGGCCCAGGCAGGAGGCATCTTGTTAGAACAGACTATGATCTCACCTACTTTGGAACAAGAATGTTTGTAAAAGTGCATATTTATTGGTGGGAGGCACGGTGCTGAGCTACGTAGGTGAATCATCTGTTACTTCTCACAAACGTGTCTGAGCTGCGCACTGCTGTTATCCCCATTGTATGGATTTAGACCTCAGGCTCAGTTACCCAAGTTCACACAGTCAGGCGGGTGGCAGAGCTGGGATCAGAGCCCAGGGAGCTGGGATCGGACTCCCAAAGGCTGCCTGACGAACTCCTTTCTTGCTGCATATCCTCCTATTGAGGAAAAAAATCGGTTGACGAAAGAGAAAGGAAAGAAATCAGGAGAGTTTTAATGAATGGCATAATTAAGAAGAGCTTTGTATAAAGGCCAGGAGTCAATTTACCCTGATATCTAATGACTATTAAAGAGAATTTGTTACCAGAATAGAAATTATTATCTTTTGCACTCAGCGTTCAAAATCCAGCTGTCACTGCTACGCAGTTCTCTATTTCCAGGCTGCCGCCTCTCGGAGGGGTAGGGGAGGAATGCACGTAGGATGCCTGCACACGTGTGGCACCCCCAGCGCTGACCAGGGCTCTGGCCCTGCAGTCCACCAGCTGTCATTGCCATTGCTGAGGAACGCTGTTTACAGCCTGTACAGAGCCTCTGCAAATTAAAGAAAAGTACCCATTTCTGCAGGAAGACACAGCCTACCTCGGAGCCCCCCTTCCCCGGGGTATCCTGGTGCAGGCTACATCTGCACAGTGGTACCTGGTGGCCTGTTCCTATGGATGTGTTTTGCAGCCTTTGCCCTGGTGGTTGTGCCACCAGCCTCTGCTCCCAGAAGCATTTCTGAGATGTGTTTTGTCATGCTGACCATGGGAGCTGGTACACCTGGATAGGGGTCGTCCCATCGTCATCCCACACTCTTGTCTGTGGCGTGGAGCTCTGGCGAGAGCCAGCTCTGATGCCATTTGCATATTCTGGACTTCCAGGTAGACAGGTTCACGGGTCTGCTGCAGGTCTTTCTTCTCAGATTGGCAAACCTGACAGCCTCAGGGTTCAAAGCCTCTGTGGCTCCTTCCCAGTCATCAGCATAGCACAGCAGTCCCGTGGGCCTGTGGCATGCCATGTGCCCGCTAACTTGTACCACGAGTCAAGCCAGGACAAGGGACTGCCTTTAAAGAAGGAACTTTAACAGATATGTGATCCATCCACTCTCTTTTATCGCTAACCGAGTTTTATCGACAGGCAAGCTACATGTCTGCACTCATAACTCAGGCCCTCAGAACCACTGAGTCCTTGTTTATATCATGGCCTGGGCATTTTTATTGAGCAGTGCTATGAGAATTCTTATAAAGTGTGTAATTTCTGCATTTGCTGACAGTTATTGAAAACGTTATCCATTATACTATTCAGTTGCCTTCTCTTAGGTCCCACATGAGAAACTTCTTTGGAATTTAATTTTTGAGGGATACCTTTTTATTTCTTTAATTTATTCACTGGGTAAGAAAAACCGGGAAGCTCAGACCCACCCTGGCATGCCATCACCATAATAATGTTGATGTTGTGGTTCGGTATTTGCTTTCTGTGACCTTGATGCTTATCCTTTTTTTTTTAACCATATCACGTGTATGCCCTTTACTGTACATTATCCAAGATCCATCCCACCCACTTTTATTGGGTAGGAGTCAGCCTATATTAAAACACAAATGAAATGAAACTACGTGGAGACTAATGTAGATTTGTCTGTATTAAATCCCATATTATAAAGCCACTAAATCATAATGTGGTTAGCAAGTTCAGTAACAATTTACTATAGATTTACAGCATTGTTTAACCTGTGTTCCAGTGTTCTGGCCTTTCCTGTTCCATAATGTGCTTTACTTTGTCTAATGTTTGGTATAATATGCCCATTGATATTTTATTCGGTTATGAACTGATTTATTTGATCAGTATACAATTGCAAGTAAACGTGATTATACGGTGGTGTATGCAGTGTGAGACAGTTGCCATTTGCATTCACTTTATTTAAAGTTTATTTATTTATTTTGAGAAAGACAGAGACAATGTGAGTAGGAGAGGGACAGAGAGAGAGGGAGAGAGAGAATCCCAAGCAGGTTCTGTGCTGTCAGCGCAGAGCCCAGTGTGGGGCTCAGTTTCACAGATTGTGAGATCATGACCTGAACCGAAATCAAGAGTTGGATGCTTAACTGACCGAGCCACCCAGGCACCCCATATAGTTGCCATCTGTCACCATGCAAAGTTATTACAATATTATTGACTATACGCCTTATGCTGTATTTTGCATCCCTATGACTTATTTATTTTATAACTTGAAGTTGGTACCTCTTAATCCCCTTCACCTATTTTTCGTGTCCTTCCACCCCTCCTTGCTCTGGTAACTAACAGCTTGTTCTCTGTATTTATGAGTCTATTTCTATTTTGATTGTTTGGGTTTTTTTAGATTTCACATATAAGTGAAATCATATGGTATTTGTCTTTCTCTGACTTCTACCACTTAGTGTAATATCCTCTCTAGTTCCATCCATGTTGTCGCAAATTGCAGGATCCCTTTTTTATGGCTGAGTAATAATAATCCACCACATTTTCTTTATTCTTTCATTGATAGACACTTAAGTTCCTTCCATATCTCAGCTATTGTAAATAATGCTGCAGTAAACTTGGGGTGCAGACATCTTTTCGAATTAGTGTTTTTGCTTTCTTCAGGCAAATACCTAGAAGTGGAAATGCTGGATCATTTGGTATTTCTGTTTTTATTTTTTAGAGGAATCTCCATACCGTTTTCCAGAGTGGCTGCACCAATTTACAGTCCCATTAGTAGTGCTCCAGGGGTCCCTTTTCTCCACATCCTCACCAACACTTGTTATTTCTTGTCATTTTGATAAGACAAAGAATTTGTAGCCACAGAATCTGCATTTTAACAGGATACCCACGTGATGCATATTCACAGCCAAGTAGAAGAATTATTTTATGTTATTCTAGTAGCTTGCTAACCTGCACATTACATCTCTCTTTATCCTTCATACCTTTCTTTCTGAAACATAGTTATAATGATATTATCATCCTATTTCTTGCCTGGGCATGAGGATTCTCTTATTTAATAAGAACCCTGGTGGTGTGTTTTTTTTTTGTTTTTGTTTTTGTTTTTTGTTTCTTGTTTTTTTTTCTTTTTTTAAACACAGATTGTTAGGCCTTTTTAATGGATCTGTGGTGGGGCTTGGGAATCTATTATTTTTTTGAACAAACATCTCCAGATACTCTGATAGCAAAGCAGGTTTAGGAAACACTGGTTCAATGATATAAAATCAGCCTCCTGAGCATTTCCATCAGACCCTCCTCAATATGGCCTTTGTCCATTTTCCCCTTTCTCCACTCATTTGCCCATTTTTCTTTACTGTCCTCTGAGACCCTGGCCTCACCAAACTCTCTTCCAACACGTGCTGCATTTCCACACCTCAGTGCCTTTTCCAACTCTTCCCTCAGTGTGGGATGCACACCTTGCCACCCTGCTTTGGGCTTTATTTAATAGGATCCTTTCTGGCCTTGCTGCGATCCACGTCTTTGGGAGAGTGCCTCTAGCCCTTTCTCTTAGAACTAAGGACTCCCTCCTCCTTACACCCATTACCTTTTCATTTTCTAGTACCTTGTTTGCACCCCACTAGCCTAGTAAGCTCTCTGGAAACCTCTGTGCTGTTTCCACCTCTGCCCTAACTCCCAGCTTATCACTGTATTTTTCCACTACGAAACTCTCAAATATATATCAAATTGAATACATACATACTTTGGAGAGATCATGTCCTATTGAATATCATTTATGAATAGTGCTTAAAACCACAGGTAATTTGAATTTTTTGTGTTTATTTGTTTTTGAGAGAGAGAGAGAGAGAGAGCACAAGCAGGGGCGGGGCAGAGAGACAGGGAGAGAGAGAATCCTAACCAAGTTTTGAGCTATCTGCGTGGAGCCTGATGCGAGGCTCGAACTCGCAAACTGTGAGATCATGAGCTGAGCCGAAACCAAGAGTCAGACGCTTACCTGACTGAGCCACCCAGGCGCCCCAAACCACAAGTAATTTGAAATGAAAAACAGAATATGTGGAGTATTAAATGCTCATTGGGTTATTTTCAAAGGATAATTTTTATCTACTGAGAGGCTTATTTACCTCTTTCATGATAGTTTATTTTAGTAAACATTTTTCCAGTGCATTTCCATTTTTCCAACAGCTTGGGCTCCTGCTGTACATCCTGCAAGCATCACCTGCCGATGTTGGGGACATTCTTTCAGGCTTTGCCGTTAGTGTATAAAAAGCTAATGAATTACTTTGAGTTGTTTGGTCCGAGTCCTTCTTAGGAAACTATGATAGACTTCTTATTAGTTTTTGTTGTTGTTTCATGGTGATTTTTAAAAAAAGAAATCCTCTGTGTAAAAAAAAAAAAACAATATTGTATCTACAGTCTGCTGGAATGTTTACCTAGCTTGTCATAATTTGTTGTTTTTGTTTCAGTAATTCAATACAACTCTAAAATACTTATTACCTTCTTACAGGTGGTTGATAGTGAAAGATTCCTTTTTACTGTATATGAAACCAGACAGTGGTGCCATTGCCTTCGTCCTGCTGGTAGATAAAGAATTCAAAATCAAGGTGGGGAAGAAGGAGACAGAGACAAAATATGGGCTCCGAATTGATAATCTCTCAAGGTAGAAATTTCAAGTATTTTAAAAAGATTTCTCTCAAAAACAAAGTTTTTCTCCCAACCTTAAGTGAAGGAGGAGGTAAAATAATTTAAATGTTAGAACATTGTTATTTAGAACTCATCTTTGGTCAAAAATAATGAAACTACTTTTCTTTATATGAATTTTTAAGAATTAAATATTCAGTGTGCAACAGAATAAATAATCGCATGTATTGATTTGTGTTTGTTTTAACAAAATGTATGCCTATTAATAAAATTAACTACTCAATGGTACCAGTTTACCAAACAGATAAGCTAAGGAGTGATAGTTTCACATTTTTTTTTTCAATGTTTTTTTTTTTTTTTTATTTTTTTTTATTTTTTTATTTTTGGGACAGAGAGAAACAGAGCATGAACGGGGGAGGGGCAGAGAGAGAGGGAGATACAGCATCGGAAACAGGCTCCAAGCTCCGAGCCATCAGCCCAGAGCCTGACGCGGGGCTCGAACTCACGGACCGCGAGATCGTGACCTGGCTGAAGTCGGACGCTTAACCGACTGCGCCACCCAGGCGCCCCAAATAGTTTCACATTTTTAAGAAACAAAGCTTTATAAGTTGATATCCTTTAGTTAACATAAAAATGTGATTTGATTTATAAAAATTCTATTTACACATAGATTTTAAGAAAGATCTCTTGAAAGGATACTCAAGCATACATTTACTATAGATTTTATTAGTGAGTGTGTGTGTTGATAAATGTTTCTTTCTGGAAGGCTATAGTTATGTAATACGTGTTGTCATTTTCTCTATATATACATTCGGCCTCATGTATATGAATATATTATAAATTTTTCTCTTTTTCACACATTGACTATATATGTGTATACATACACACACACACACACGCACATCCTTGCTAATACACATTGGCATGTGTTTTGTGTGTCTGTGCATGTATGTATGTGAAAAGATGTTGACCTTCCTGATTTTCTCTGATGGTAAAAGGTTCAAGATTATCCCCCTCACAGTCTGGTACAGTTCTATGTCATAGTAAATACCTTTATGCATGTTAGCATGAAGGAGTGAGTAAATAACCTGAAAATTTATTTTTGCTATATTGCCATATATTGCTCTATATATACAGTTTAAAAGCTTGCTGAAAATGTTCAGAAGTCTGCTTTTTTGATAAAAGTAAGGTACTCTTTGCTTAAAATTTTCAACAAAATGGCATGTGTTTAATTGTTAATTTTTTTTTAAAGAGACAAAACACAGAGTGATCATTCTTTTCCACATTTTGCTTTTCTTTGAAGGACTCTTATTTTAAAATGCAACAGCTATAGACATGCTCGGTGGTGGGGAGGGGCTATAGAAGAATTCATCCAGAAATATGGTACCAACTTTCTTAAAGACCATCGATTCGGGTCCTATGCTGCTATCCAAGAGAATACATTAGCCAAATGGTAAGATCATTTTGCTCTAAGACTGTTGAGGTAGTCATAGTATCTAATATAATAGTAGGTGTAAATTCATCTGGAATCAATTTTTGAGGCTGTGGTAAGGTAATATGCATTATACTTAACAAGGGCCTTTCTTTATAGGACTACCTGAGCATAGATTAGTTTTCCAACTTTTATTTTTAAGATTTTTACAGTGAGCTTGAGACAGCTAGCTTTAGATTTTGAAGTTTGGCTTTAAAAGCTTAACGTCCTACATTTTTTAATGATGCAAAGAAAATGTTTATTTAAGTTATTAGCCATAATCTAAGGACGAGAATTTACTTGCTAGATATTTCTTTTAAATAAAAAGCATTGCGTGGTTTTCTGCCCATGGATTGGAAACTGGTCTGTTTTCAGTCTCAGAAGAACAATGGTGTGAGTTCAACAGGATGAGAGAATTCATCTGACTCATGTGATGATGAGACCAATTTGTTGTGCTCTCGGCAGAATCGGGTCGCTTGCTTCCGTCTACTTACTGTGCTTCCTGCTAGTTAGTAGACAGAAGATGGTATTTTCAATCCTTGGTTTTCAGTTATGCAAAGTAAACTGGCAGCTTTGTAGAAACTCAGGCAGTGGCTTCGGTCTTTCACTTTGCCGTAAGATATGTTTGCTTTCTTTCTTTCTGTAAAACAAAAATAAATGACACACACACAAAACCCTTGTTTTTCAGGTACGTTAATGCCAAAGGATATTTTGAAGATGTGGCAAATGCAATGGAAGAGGCACAAGAAGAGATTTTTATCACGGATTGGTGGTTAGTATTTGTCTAGGGGGATTTGGTTCGGAGGCCTCTCTGTTTAGAAACGTAAAACAGTTGTGCTGTTCCAGAATCATACGTTATGAAAACCAGCAGTACCTGTAGATGGTCTGGCCAGAGTCTCAACCAATTAACTGGAATAGCCTTCAGTGAAAGGTCTTTTCAAAAAACTTGGCATCCAAATATATCCTTAAAATATTTAGTTATAACAATTTTGGTTTGTCTTTCCAGTTGGAAGTAGACACTCAAATATTCATTTCAGTAAAGATTATTTTGCAGTGCAAACACAATTGTACAAGTGAGAGAAAATAATCTTCCTTGGGTGCCTTCCTCATTTGGCATTTCAGTCACCAGGTTCAGTGAATATTGTTCTGGATTGTCCCTTTGAAGCTGGAAGAGTTCCATTTGCCTATTACTATTAAAATGTCCTTGGTATTGACTAGGCCTGTTCAGCTTTTTTGGAGATACATCAGATTTCAGCTTTTTGGCCCCCTTTACAAATCTCCATGAGAGCTATGATGCTTCACAGAGCCACTGGAAATCTTGTACCGAAAACTCATTTAGCTCTTGAGAAGTTGTTCTCTTGGAGTTGGTATATGCTTGATAGTTTGACTTTAGTTCCAGTTACCCATCTGCCTGGACAGTTAAAACCCACTGCAGATGCCAGAATTGACTGCAGTGGAAATGAACCTGTCTTGAATCTGTTTTCCTTCTAAGAACTTAGTTGTTGAAATACTCCTTATTTTTCCCTGTCCTGTTTCCTTCCAAATGCTACCTTTCACATCTAAGCTGTGAAAATATCATCATAATTTATTTCCTCCTCATTCTAGATTTTGCGGGGGAGGGAAGAAGAATTAGGAATATGAACCCATCCTCTTCTACTCTTTTGTATTAGTGATGTGGAAATCTATAATTCTACAGCATGCTTTCCCAATCTGAGCACTATTGATATTTTAGACCAGATAATTCTCTTTGTTATGGGAGGTTGTTCTGTGCATTGTGGGATGGTTAGCACCATCAGCAGCCCTGGCTTTTACGGATTAGATGCCAAGTAGGCTCCTAGTCTGTGATAATGTCTTCAGACATTGCCAAATGTCCCCCTGAGGGCAGAGTCCTTCTTAGTTGAGAACCATTGATCTAGGGTCGATAGATGAGGTATGTGGGGGTGCCTGGGTCACTCAGTTGGTTAAGTGTCCAACTCTTGATTTTGGCTCGAGTCATGATCTCACAGTTCTCAAGTTTGAGCCCTGCATCGGACTCTGTGCTGGCAGTGTGGAGCCTGCTTGGGATTTTCTCCCTCCCCCTCTCTCTCTGACCCTCCCCTGCTCGTTTTCTCTCTCCCTCTCTCTCTCTAAATAAATAAACTTAAAAAAGATAAAGTATATGATGGTCAGTATCACGTCTGTGATGTTTATTCTCGTGTGCGCGGAGGAGCTTAATCTTGGCCTTTATAGTCACATTTTGTCTCTCTACTCAGTTACCGGGAATAAAAGAAAGTTTCATACTTAAGAGCTGTTTCTTTGGTTGAATACTTTATAAGCACTTATGTGAATAAATTCAAGCTTAAAATAGTACTATATTCCTTCAGAAAATATTTCTGAAAGTTTGATGAAGACATGAGAGAGACTGAAAATAGTGTTTCCATTGAGCCCATATTTTCATGTTTTATGCAAGAAAATAATATTCTTTTGAAGGTTCTGAACACTAAAATACAGGCTCTCATTTAAACATCTAAAGAGTTGGAGCCTTGAATGTTTTCTACTGTCGGCAAGAAAATAAACCAGGTTATTTCTTTTCTATGGCTGTCTAGGATAACATCTTATTACCACACTACCTTTGAAATAAAACCTTCGTTGTAACTTCCCTCATCTTGTGAAGAAAATTCTTGTCATGCCAGTATATTGCAAAAGAGAGCATCAGAAACTGAACCAGTGCTGATATGTCCAGATCTGAGAGAGTGAAAAGCATAAGCAGAAGATGCACATGTCCTATAGAAGCTTCTGATCTAATTCAAGAGCTGCCACATGCTTAAATGAAAACTGTACTAATAGGTTTATAAAATAATTCATGTGCAAACAAAGGGGGATATAGTGAAATGAGAAGCAACCTGGGACCTTCTAGTGCTTAGTTCCTTTGTTCATTAATTCATTTAACCACCCAGCCATTCACTCATTAACTTATTCACTCATTCATTCTAGATCTATTTAGTGAGCACCCACTCTGTGACAGGTACCAAACTAGGCTGTGCATATATAAAGATGACTGAGAAGCAGCCCCTACTCTGGAACGAGATAGAGTAAGGAAGTCCTATGGAAGACAACAGATTGGGGAAAACTGAGTGATGAGCATTAAGATAGCAGGAGGCTGTGAAGAAGGAGGGAGCCCTGAGGCAGGGCAATAACTGAGCCTACAAAGCTTCACCTAAGAGAAGGCTGGCCTGGGGCTTAGTGCTGGAGTTGACCAGATGGAGATAGGCAAATGTTTTCGGCAGAGGGATAGCTAGGACCAAGGCATAGAAGGGTGAGAGTGCACAGCAACTTTGGAGGAGGGTGGAGGTTGTGTGGATCTGAAGCATAGCATCCTTTGGAATGGCGGGTGGAGATGGCCCCCAAAAGATGGTTCAGGGGAAAACTGTGAAGGGTGCTGGCTGAGCTGCTAAGGAGTTTGCACTTAGTCCTGTGAACACTGGGAACCACTGACAATTTTTAAGCGTGAGGATTTTAATCCAATTTGTTTTCTAAAAGGCATCATTCTGGTAATAGTGTAGAAGAGGAATTAAACACTGGTTCTAGAGACCACTTGGCACACTTTTGCTGTAGTCCAGGAGAGAAATGGCAACGGTCTTTGCTCAGACCACCTTAGGGACCTGACAATTACGGACTTGGGGCAAGTCCTGTTTATCTTTCTCAGGGGTAGTTTCTGAGGCACAAAGTAACATTGACAATAATAGTGATTATTTGTTAAATTCTTACAAGTGCCAGGGGCTATGTTATAGTTGAGAAAAGTGAGACCCATTAGGGGGAGGGGAAGGAAACTGCCCACAGTCACCCAGTTGGCAAGTGTCAGTGCCTGCTGGGCTCCAGGTGTGTCTGCTGTAGCGTCCCCGTTTCATGAAGCCACCTCTCAGGGGAGCCTGCCACTCGGATGGTGTCTGAAGTGCCTTTTATTTTTATTTATTTATTTTTTTGAAATTCCTTTAAGATCTAATATTCTTTAAGTGCAGATTGAACTATTTTGAGGTAATAAATTTGTAATCAGATTGGGATAGATTTAGTTAGGAGAAATTTTCTTTTTTTAATTTTTAAAAAATGTTTTATTTATTTTTGAGACAGAGAGAGACAGGGCATGGGCAGGGAAGGGGCAGAGAGAGAGGGAGACACAGAATCTGAAGCAGGCTCCAGGCTCTGAGCCGTCAGCACAGAGCCCGACATGGGGCTCGAACTCACAAACCGCGAGATCATGACCTGAGCCGGAGTTGGACGCTTAACCGACTGAGCCACCCAGGCGCCCCAGGAGAAATTTTCTAAAGAGGTAAATTCTGAGGTAGGCTGTCCAGTTAGAAGAGGTAATGACTCATTAAACAGCCCAGACTATCTAAAAACTAAGAAGAGTACATTTCAGCTGGATGTGAAGGTGTCTTAAAAGATAGTTTCCATATAAAGATCAGTGAGCATTCTCTACTTCGTGTGTCTGGATTAACCACAAGAACATTTGTTTTCTGTCTTTTCTGTGCTTGGTGCTATTTCAAGGACTTAGCTCTTCAGTGTTCATTGAAGTATGTCCTCAAATGAGGTTGGACACCAAGAGGTGGCTCCGAGCTCCATTGGTACATGGCTAATTGCTCTTAGGACAGATCTGGAGAGTGTGGCTTAGCTCAGATTTCTTCTTGATGGTGGTGATTATAATTCATCAGGCATGTGTCAGCAGGCACGTGTGGAATCTTCGCTGTGGTGGGTTCTCTCCCCAGCCTGTCAGGGTGAGGAGTGCTAGCCGTGTCTGCCAGAGCCTCTGTGCTGAGCCTATGCATGAACCATGTCAGAAACTGAAGAGTTTTAAAGACCAGATTTTCTTTTTTTTTTTTTAATTTTTTTAACGTTTTATTTATTTTTGAGACAGAGAGAGACAGAGCATGAACAGGGGAGGGGCAGAAAGAGAGGGAGACACAGAATCGGAAGCAGGCTCCAGGCTCTGAGCCATCAGCCCAGAGCCCAACGCGGGGCTCGAACTCACGGACCACGAGATCGTGACCTGAGCTGAAGTCAGACGCTTAACCGACTGAGCCACCCAGGCGCCCCAAGACCAGATTTTCTTAAGGTTTTAACTTTAATTCCAGTATAGGTAACATACAGTGTTACATTAGTTTCAAGTACACAATATAGCGATTCAACAATTCTGTACATTACTCAGTGCTCATCATGATAAGTGTCCTCTTTAATCTCTATCACCTATTTCACCGCCCCCCACCCCCTTCCCTCTGGTAACCATCAGGGTGTTCTCTGTAGTTAAGAGTCCGTGTTTTGGTTTA